GTTGGACTGGATGACCCTTGTGGGTCCCTTCCAGCTCAGGATATTCTGTGATTGTATGAACTCTTAACACTGCCACAAACCCTGACTAGATTGTGATTGTGTTTTGTTCTTAAATCAGGTAAAGTAGGGATTTTACATGGATTTTACATGGATTTTACACCAAGACCTGCCCCTTTTTGAAATCAGGGCTGTTTTTTCTCCAGCATTAGCTTAAGCCACAGGTTTAGAAGCTGTGCCAAGGCTTTGATAAAAGCTGGTGATAGCTGCTGAGGTGTCCCACGTGCTGAGGTGATGCCCAAACCTGTGAGTGCACAATGTACAGGCAGTGATTAACTTCTATCTCACTGACCCTTCCCACATGGAGCACAGGAAAGCCTTGGGAGGGTCCTCAGAAACACTCCCCTCTGAACACAGCTCCTGGCTGCTGAACAGGAGCATAAGGAATGGGGCTGGAGAGGCCAGGATGGGGCTGCCCAGGGCTGGCAGGCACAAGGAAGGTGGAATAACAGCTCCCAGGGCTGCCTGCTGGATGCCAAGTCTGCATCCTAAATCAGCACCAGGACAGTGCCAGGGCAGCTCTGGGTCTGCACAGCAGGTCCTTGTGCACCAGGGCAGGAATGCCACTCATTCCTTTCTTTTTTCAATAAAAAAATTTATTTATTTGGTCCAAAACTGCCTGTGCAGAATATCTCTACGAAGAGGGAGAACATTCTCATTGTATAAGTTTGTGAATAAGTTGCTGGGATGTTTTTTTCTTTGATATTGAATTTTCAACAAGAATTTGGCAGTGGAGGTTTCTCAGAATTGAACTGTTCTTACATATTGTTGCAGACTTGAACAGTCAATTTATATTTTTCTTCTTTTTTTTTTTAATTTTTTTTTCTTTCTTTTGGAGCAGTTTAATGCCAACAGAGGAGAAAGAAATTGCTGGAAAAGCAAAACTGTGAGCAGCAAAGTTAAATGAACCATTTAAAGCACCAGCAATATCTGCACTCTGGGATCTAATGTTTTAAATGTCAGAGTGGAAGAAATTTGCTGGACCAATATATAACTTTATTTAAAGGGCAAGGTTAATGATTCCTTGCCTGCATATTTACCTTGTTTGCCTCTGCTTGTTTTCTTTTCCCCATCAGGCTGATGATAAAGACACTGGGAATTACAGTGCCATGCAGTACAGACTCATCATTCCCCCCATCAAGGATGGCAAAGAAGGTTTTGTGATTGAAGCTTACACAGGGCTGATCAAAACTGCAATGCTCTTCAAAAACATGAGGAGATCCTATTTCAAGTTCCAGGTCATTGCCACTGACAATTATGGAAAAGGACTGAGCAGCAAAGCAGAAGTGCTTGTAAGTATGAGCCAGGCATCGTTAGGGAATAATTCCTGAGGAAATTTAACCACCACGTAAAGTTTAATTCCAGGCAGACCTATAGAAGAGCCATGAACTGTGTGTGCTTAATTTTTTAAGTCACTGAAATAAAGCTTTTGCCTTTTTAAAGCAAAAGATGTTAGGACATGTTGGAGCCAGTCCAGAGGAGACACCAGGTTGGTCAGGGGGCTGGAGCAGCTCTACTGGGAGGAAAGGCTGGGAGAGTTGGGATTGTTCAGCCTGGAGAGGAGAAGCTTTGGGGTGACCCAATTGTGGCCTTGCAGGGCCTGGAGGGAGCCTGAAAGAAAGATGGAAAGATGGAGAGGGACTATTTATAAGGACCTGGAGTGGCAGGACAAGAGAGAATGGCTTCCCACTGCCAGAGGGCAGG